GGTTTTTCAAGCGGAGGGTGGGGGCCCTTGCGGAGGTCCAGGAGTCTCTGCGCTTAGGCGAGCCGCTGCTTTCCTTCCTGGATGACACCGGTTCTTGACTTCCTCGCTGCGGCCTTGTGGCGTCACGCCCGCATCCAGCTGAACCACGGCAAGACCCGAATCTGGAATTTTGCTGGCCAAGTCCCGCCCGGGATCGGCGATCTCGATGCGGGAGACGGTTCTGTCTGGGTCGGTTGCCACTCCTTGCCCCTGAATCCTGCGGGCTTGTTGTGCTTGGTGCTCCATTGGGTTCCCCCGCGTTTGTGTTCCTGGGCTGCTAGTTTCCACGTTTTCCAACGCCTTGTGCTTGCAGGCTGCTGCGGCGGCCGTCGCCAGCTTGTCCTCTCCCTCCTGGCGTCCCCCCACTTGGCATGAAGTCTGCTCCTTTGCTTGAGGACTCCGATGGCCGCGCCTTGCTTGGAGATCCCGCCGGGGTGGCAGCGTCAGGCCACCGCTGTTGTTGAGGACAGCTTGTCCGCAAAGCTGCACACCCAGCTTGACCGCTTTTCCAGTTGCTTGCTTGTGTCGCAGCAGGGCCCGTTTGCTGGTCGGCTGTTCACTGTCGCCTGAGTTGTCGGTCCCTTCGCACTTGTTCCGTACGCTTGCCCTTCGGCGGCTCCGACTCCCCCTTCCCATCTCCGATCGCGCTTGGCCGTCGCCGCCTCGACCCCTTTCGCGACCACCACGCAGCGTGCGCCCGGGCTGGGTTGTTGCGGAGCCGCGGTTGCCCTCTCGAGCGAGCGGCCGCTCGGGTCTGCCGCGAGGCGGGCGCTCGAGTCACAGTCAACTCACGCCTTGCGGACATGAACCTCCCGCCTGGATGACCGGCGCCTTGAGGTTGTCGCCAACGGGCTCCCCCTTGAAAATGGAGCTCAGGTAGCGGTCGATACCACGTTGGTCTCGCCTCTCTCCTCTTCCGGCGAGCCCCGCAGACACGCTGGCCGCGTTGACAGGGCCGCCCTGCGCGAGGCCCGGCGCCGGCTCGACTCGTGCTGCTGCAATAAGGCTTCGACAAGTTGGGCCCGCGCAAGCAAGAGGGCAGAACAACTTCGGACCGGCGCCAGGTTGGACGCCTGCAGCAGCAAGTGGCTGTGTAGGACTGGCAGCACATCAGCCCAGGAACCCAAAACGCCGCGGGGGCAAGGCACACGGCGCTGCGCAAACCGAGGCCGCCCTCATGGAAGGGCAGCTGCGGGCAAAGGGGCTGTACGAAGGAGGTCGGACAGACAAGATAACACAGCCTCGTCGTGCGAGGCCCCGAAAGCCGCTGTCAAGCAAGGGGGCAGCATGCGAAGGACGTGGCCGTCGCAAGGGGAACCCCCCCCCAAAAAAAAAGGAGCACAAACAAACACAAGCAGCAACCAGGCACACTGGAGGTCTGGGGATGGTGAGGATGGCTTGCAACAAGGAGTCCTGCTTGGCACGGAGCTGATGCAACTGAGCCGCAGCAAACTCTGGGTCGCAGTGCCGCCCCCAAGACAGGGTCACTGCCGCTGCCTAGTGCCCGGATGTGGGGAGGCTGCTGATGCGATCGCCCTTTCCGACCATCGTCAGCCGCTGCGCGGATTTGCCGCGAGGCCGGCGCACTCGTCACAACCAACACCCTTGTGCGCGACTCGAATGCCCCTGTCGGCCGCCTGGGCGACAGACGTAGCTACTGGCTTGCCTTCGTGGAACGGGGCCCAGCTTGCTGTTGACACAACCAGCGTCTCGCGCGATGCCGTTCTGCGCTCGCGCCGTGAACTTGGCACGGCCTGTCGCTTTGCTTGATGCCCGGCGTTCCCCGAGCTCCTTCGGTCCTCCCGGTGCCGCTTGGGCGTCCTTGGTGCTGAGGTCGGTGGGCGAGTGAGCTCCGCCGTTTTCCTGCGGCAGCTTGCTTGGGCCAAGGCCAGAGACACCCCTGGTCCACCGATGGTCTGGCTTTTTGACCGCTGCCGCCATGCAAGCCTTTGCTGCCAGCTTGTCCACCTCGCCTTCGGCCGTGCATGGCAGACTTGCAAGCAACAACAAGTTTCATGGCTTGGCGGTGCATGGATTGAGCCCAAATCCGCAATGGTGGACACTTTACATTTTTTTCATGCGCCCATGGTATGGGCAGCACTGATTTCGATGTGTGGATCGCAGCAGATGGAATTTTCTTTTATGGCCACTTTGCGTGGTGCAGTTTTACTTTCCTGGTATTTGCGGTGCTGTGGAGGCGCTGGAGTATTCGATGGTGGATTGAGAGCCGTTTGAGCCGGAAGACCAAGGCTTGGCTGTCGCTGTTTTTCATGGTTAGCATGATGAGTGCCGACGACCTTTTCAGGCGCATTGACAGTTTGAGCCAAGCAGCAACTACAGCAGCACAAGCAGCAGTGACAGTTTTAAACCATCTTGACCAAGGTTCACCAAGGTCTGGCGGCGGAGATCAAGTGCTGAAGCAACCGGATGCTTTTGAGGCTGATGACCCCATTGAATTCAGTACCTGGCGTTTGCAATTCATGAATTGGCTGACATGGTTGCTGCTTCCATCGCCCGGTGATCGACCTTAATTACAACTGCAGCCCATTCGGCCTTCGCCGAGTCTTTGCCTTGCGGCGGGGTAGGGGCCAATGCTGCCAGCCGGCTTGCTTAAAGCCGGAGACCCGGAGCCTGCAAGAGGGGAGGCTGACCCCCGCCAAACAGCCTGTGACTTTCCTAGTGCCCGGGAACCCCAATTAGGCACATCCGGGGACGCGCGGCGTCCTAGCTACGGCCTACATCAAGCGTTGGGCGTCCTTACTCCTCGCGGCTGCCCAGCGTGCACTAATTAGCAACCAGCTTGCTGTGCCTGCCGTTGCAAGCTTCCAGCAACCTTGACGGCGCAGGGCTGCTGCCCAGCGACGTGCAAGAAGCTCATGCAGAGCCGCCTAGCCAGGTGCGTTTGGTGAGGCGCTCGGCCCTCATCGAATGAATTTTTTCTTGATCCCTCAGCCGGACTCGTCGTCATCCAGCGCCACTCGCAAAATTTATCCCGCCCGCTGCCTTGCGTGAGCGTCCTTGATGATGTTTACGTCGCCACTTCGCCGCCAGAAACGCAAGAAGCGCGGCACGTTGGACTCGATTGCCGGGGCTATCGCAACGCATTGCGGCATCGCCGCTAATCTGGGCTTTCGAGGGGAGGTGAGCAGCTCGCCCCCTTTTGGGCGGCCTTTGCACGGGCCAAACCCCAAGCCAAAAGCGACCCGTCGGCGCCACCCTGCGGCGAGGAGCTCCGGGGTAAGCCGATTCCCGCTTGCAACACACCGCCAGCTTCCCTGGCGCTGAGACCGCGGGGTTGGCCAAAGCCTGCTCGGCAACTCAGCCCCAACGGCCTTCTGCACTGCGACCGAAGCTCCGCGACGTTGCATGGACGCGGGCTCACGCCAGCGCGCGCGCACGCCGCACGCTGGTCCCCTAAGGCATCCAGCGCGCCCCGACAGGAGCACACCCGCTCGCTGAAGGGAAGCGGCACGCGCAGGCGGCGCAAGGCCGCAACGCGAAAGTGAGGGTCCGGGACGTTGAACTCGGGGGCAGTGGGGAGGACAGTGAAGAAGCACCCGGCATGGTCGCCTGCTTGGGAAGGGACAGCAAGCAGACCAGCCTCGTCAGCGGCGTCAAGCACCATTCCGGCAGCACGCTGCCATCCACGGGTGTAATCGCCAAAGTCTCTACCCTGGCTGCGCGGGTCAAGGCGCAGCAGCTCGTCCCACGCGGGGGGCTGGAAGCCATCAGCCCGCAGCGCCTCAGCGGCCTCCGCCGCGGCACGCACGCTGGGCGCGCGCTGTCCGCCCACAGCGAGCGAAACAGCCAAGTTGCAGGCGACGACCGGGTGCCGCTCTTGGATCATGGGCAGGGTGTCAGCCCAACTGAGCTTGACGCAAATGCAAATGAGGTGCCCCTCACCGCCGGCCGGCTGCCGACAGGCACTTTGCACAGTCGGAAACCTCCGGGTGCAAAAGGCCGGTGCGCCTCACGTGCACAGAGGCTCTTCTTCAGCAGGGTTTGTGGGGTACGGCGGTGGAGAAAGGATGTGCTCCTCTTAAGTGACGTAAAACAACCAAGTGGCGGCAGTCCGAGCTGAGCAACTCCGAAAGCCATGACTGGAGGCAGTCGCGTCTTGCTTTCCCTCTTCTTCCTTTTCCCTCTTCCCTTTTCTTTTCTCCGCTTTTCTCTTCTTTCTTGTCTCTGGCGTCCTTGCTCCTCTTTGATCTTCTTTATTTTCTCTTCTTCCTGTTGTCCTCTCCCCGTGTCCTTCGGTCTCCTTTCTGTGCTCTTCAGTCTTCCCTCTCCACGTCTGTTGTTGACAAGTTCTTTTTCTTGCAGAATCTTCCTTGTTTCATTTTTTCTTCTTCTCTTTCCCTCTTTCTCTTGCTCTTTTTCTTACTGTGTTCTTTCTTTGGTTTCTTTGTGCGTCTTTGGTTTTGCTTTGGTTGGAGTTTTTTGTGGTGTGGTTGTGGGCGGTTGGCACAATGCATGAGTCAAGCTCCCACCTCTAAACCGTGCGCGATGGCCTGGTGAGCGGCCGAACCAACGAGGGCAGGGTGAGGCGACCAAACTGGCGTTCACCGCAATCTGGTTTTGCATCATCCCACCTTTTCACGCTTTTGATCTTTGCCTCTCCTGAACATGATGGTTTTGAATGGCATCACCATTTGAACTGGCTCAGCTTGCTGGCCCTGATTTGCCAGCGACCTTTAGTGCGTCGGAATCTTAGTATCTTACAGTCGGTGAAAGTGGATTGCACAACTCCGCAATTTTAAAGTTTGGGGTTAGTGTTCCCCTTGTGCCACGTACTTTCGCTCTCGCGTAGAAGCCAAGGCCCTAGTTTGCAGTTAAATTGCGGGCTGCAGGCCTGATGCCGCGAAGGTCGAGTGATTATTCTGGCGCAGACTCGCCATTCTGCCTCCTGCCTGCTAGTGTGGCGCTCTTGCTCACATGGCAAGACTAACGGTGACACCGAGGTGTGGTTCTTGGCGCTCAATGGGGCGATGAGGGGAAAGGAAAACTGGTTGACATCTTAGCGCAGGCGCAGTGCTTGCAGCATGTTGCAGCTCTCCAATGTGACTTTGGGCCATTTTGGACCCGTCCAGGATGCGCAGGTTTGCGCACGCTTCAACGGTGGTGCAAATGCAGGGCACACGTTGATTGTTGATGCTCGGGCTGCAAGACAAGCAGAGGAGGTCCAGGAGCAATGTCAGGGTTCAGCTTCAGAGTTTGAGATATGTATATATATATATAGATATACTTGTCAGTTGGGTCTTGTCGACTGACATATCGGCAGTTCCACTGCTGACACAGCCAACGCTTGCCGAGAAAAGATGAAGCATAGCTCAGGATGGCAAGAAATATGCTTTCCACTTGCTGCCGTGCGGCATGATCAACCGGGCCGGGTTCTCCATGATGCCTGGCATGCCTTTAGGGACTCTACTGAAGCCAGCGCAACAGGCGTGCAAGAACATCATCGGGAATGGTGTCGTGGTGTGCTCTCCTGAGACCGCCTGAGCACAAAGGGATAGCTGGGCAGCTGGGCGTGCCAGGCACATCCCGACCTTGATGAAGGAGCTGGACGAACTCAAGGATTGCGGGTGGAGCCTAGGTGCCAGGTTAGCGACGCTTATGCGTGCTGGCAGGAGTTCGATCCACAAGCACTGGAGAGAGTATTCATTTCAACACGTTTCTCGTATGCATACTTGTGATGTTAGTTTGGGACACCTGGTCGCCATTTCTCGGCTTTCGTTGGACCTTCCGCGCAGTTGTCTTGAAGCCTTGAGGTGCCCATATTCTTCTCGACAGCCATCAGATCATCGACGGAATTCTGGAGGCTGAGCAAGGAACGAATTCCATCGGCACAACGTAGCTCGGCTCCAGCACCGATTTTGGCGTTCAAGCTTGCTTCGGGGTGAAGTTCCCGGAAGTCTTTTGATGTTAAAAAGGGTTCAAGTACCTTGCCAAGTCTTGCCATCTCCCTTCAGGGTATGCAAGTTTCATTGGCGCGCATGGGCTCCCATGTTTATTCACCCATTTTCTTCAACTGGAATTTTGTTCGGTTGCCAGTGGCAAGGAAGCGGGGCATCGGCCCTTGCTATTCGTCCAAAGCTATCCGACTCTGAGCTGCATGGGTCGAGTCCATGCGCAATCGCAGTTTGAAACTAGCTGAGGCAATGGCGTGCGGTTTGGCGACTTGTGCTTTGGCTTTAGGTGACGCAGCTTGTTGTGCCCAGTTGGCACCATGTTGGCGTACAGCACTTCAGTTTTCCGCCTTCAAACACGGGCGATGAGATCCGAATGTCTAGATGCTTGTTTGTCTGTTTGTTTGTTGTTTGTTTGTTCGTTCGTTTGTTTTGTTTGTTTGTTTGTTTGTTTGTTTGTTTTGTTTGTTTGTTTGTTTGTTTGTTTGTTTGTTTGTCCGTGTAGGTGCTTTACTGGATTCACCTTCGGCCTAGGCTGCACTTCGACGAGTTCGTTCGCAAGCTAAAGGATCTCACGGCAGAATCCTTAGTTGGCAAGGAGGTGCAGAACGCGGATGTTGCTTGGTTGGGTGTCCTGTTTGTGGTGTTTTGCTTCCAGAGAGTTGCGCAGCGCCCTCTGCAATTCCCACCAAACTTGGCATCATGGGAGCGATTCCGCCTCTCGTTTAATGCCAAGAATGATTTTCCGCCCTCGGGGGGGCGGGGGGGGGGGCATGGCACAGGATGTTACATGCTGTTGACGGGGTGGGCGCCAAAAAAACCAATACACACACACACACCTTCAATTGTGGCGTTTGGCCGAAGACTTCAGCCAGTTGCTGACAGCTGCGGCATCGATTTCACTCTAGGACCAGTCACATTTTGCTCTTGCTTCCAACAGGTTCTTTTTGCTTTGCGTTTGGAACTTGCGGGTCAGGGTCGGTTTCCCTTGCCAGGTGTTTTGAAATGGCACCTTGGGGCATGCAGCATCCGCCTAGCTGCGCATTTTGGCTCAGAGTAGGCAGAGTTGCAGCGCCATGGCTGTGGAAGTCGCACTGAGGTGCTAGCGGTGAAAACTCAACTAAGAGTTCTAAGAGTGCCATTGGCGTGTTGCACGTGCAAGTCGGGGAAATGTTTCCGGACCAATTTGGGGTCTGGATGCCAGGGTGAACAGAGCAGCTGACACCTTTGCCGACCCTGCAGCTTGGCGACTCTTACAGCGGTTCAGCCTGGGTACAGACATCAAGTCACGAGGAAAATTCCTGGGGAGATCTTTAGTGGCACGCCCAGGTCCTGGAACCCGGCCCGGAAAAGCGGCGGAAGCGCGCTCCAGCATCAGGCGTGTGGTTGGTTCTATGAAGGTGCTTTTGAGTCATGGATGGTGGGCTATGGTAAGCTATGGTAGGCTATGGCAAGCTGTGGTACGTGGGATGTTTGTCGTTGCGCTGATGGGTTGAGTGGGATACGAAGACGATTCAGATGGGCTGATGGGGGGTCGGGGTCCACTGACCTTTTCCGGCCACTGACTTGCTTGCAGGCGGGACAATCAAGAAGCGTTTCATTTTGTTGGCGATTCACAGGTCAGTGTCTTTGAGGTGTTTATTTCGCAACCTACGGTGTCTTGAATTGAAGCAGCATGCTTGGCCATGTGCTTTGCAAAGGCTACATGCTCTTTATCAACGAGAACTTTGCGCGAGTCCGGCAAGAGCTCGCGGATGCAGTGGGCGACATGCCAGGTTTCAGCGACATTGCCAAGGCGGGGATCCGCCTTTGGCGGACTGTGTGGGCCAAAGTTGGCCTAGCTTGTGCGTGTCTTTCCCGGTTTTGCTGATGGCTTGCTCGAGAAGGTCAGATGAAGACATTGTGGGCAGGGGTACGGCAAGACTTTGGGAAGTTGCTACACACATCCCCTGTGTGAATGGTGTGTACCCAAAAGGGGCCCTTCTTCAATTTATTCCTCAACTGAGGTTCGCAAGACTGAAGTACATTGAAGACTCACTCAAGTTTCCCACAGGACTCACGAATGTTCTCATTTGCTTTGGTGTAACCGCCTGTTCGGACAGTTGCTCAAATGGGAGCCGCTTCTGAGGAGGCAGCGGCTCAGTGGCGGTCGCTGCCGCGTGCGGACCAGACAGAGTACCACCGCCGCGCAGCTGCTGTGCGCGAGGCGGAGAGGAGCGGGCGAAATCAGCAGAGTTCTGACGCAAAACCCGGGCGAGGTTGAGTTTCTGAAAAGGGGACCCCTTCAAGTCTGCCTTGGGGGAGTCCAACGAAACCCCAGAAATCGGCACTTTGCCGGCGGTTTCGGTTTGTCTCCAAGGCTTTGGGCTTGGTTATCGCTTGAACCCTCCAAAAAAGGAAGGGTGGCATCGGCAATGAGACAGCCATGTTGCGGCAGCCGCGAACCAATGTGAAGTACCGGGCCAAGGCTGCTCAGTGCTTTTTGGGTGTTGGTTTCAACTTACCCTTTTGCGCGACTCTTAGCCGACTTGACGGTTGGTCACCATATGAAAGCTTGATTGCGTGCCCACGCCGGCGTAGTTCGGCGAGCAAAAGCGAATCGAGTTGTCGGAGCTTCGGCGTGCTTGATTCCTTGCACCTTTTGATGGTGAAGCGAACCCAAGGGCTTCCTTAACCAGCAGTGTCCGACTTGCACCGATCCTTTTTACCGCAGGCCCTCAGAGTCGTTGGTGCTCTGCGAGACGAGCGCGCTACGCTCTACGCAAGGCTGTGCGCCTCCGTGTTGCCATCAGCTTTGGTCATACACACACATGTTCTTAAGTTATCAACATGATCTTTGCTGGTCCTCTCGCAGAATGCATGGAGCATCTCTTGCCACAACCGAAAACAATGTCCGTTGGCTGTCAGGTGCCTCCAAGGGCCGAGTCCAGTCACTACACTCCTTCAAGCGGAAGTGGATGGAGCGACCTGGCCGAAGGGTTTGGGCCGGTCGGCTTGGCCGGGCCAGGGGGGTTTCCGGTCCGGGATTCCCACTCCCATCTTCTTTATGGATGGAAGTAACCTGTATTCGATATTCCTGAAAGTGGCCCCAGAACCTAATTTGCCAGGCCCTGCCTTTGCAAGCAGGGAACGACTGGCACTTGAACCAGCACAGAGTTTTCCTTGATTACCAAGTCTCAAGGGGAAGGTTCCGGGGGTTGCAGTTGGGGATGTGACCTGGGCTCATTTGCCTGGTCAGCTTCAGGGTCCACAAGCAGGTTGAGTTTCGCCCGGTCAGTCAGGCAAGAGTTGGCGAAGTGGGAAGCCAAGCTGAAGCAAGAGTGGGAAGCCTTCTCTTCAGACGAGGCGCGCCCGCGGGCTGGCAGGAGCGTAGAATTGGATGCCAGGCTGTGGTCCCAAGTGTGGATTCCAGTTAGTGTGAGACGGATGTGAGACACACGGTTGGCCCACCAGGAGGGTGGGGGGGCCTTGCCATGCCTGTGACAGGCACAGGTACCATGAAGCCATCCAAGAGTTGTCAGGTGACCGCGCAGCTGATGGCATGGCGCGTCCGCGCCTTGGATGCATACGTCCGGGGCTCGCGTGCTCCTTTTTGGGGGCTGAATGCATGCGCTCTAGCGGATGCCTGAAAGCCTTCCAAATACGGCTTGCATAAGGAACCCACCGCTGAAGGCACCGGATCTCACAGAGGATGTCCACAAATGATTGCCACAAGCGGACAGCATTATTATTGTTATTATCATGATTATATGATTATTGCTCCTTCCAAGTTGGGTAGTTTTTTTTGGGGGGGCATCTTTCTCTCGGAGAGGGGTGTCGCCGAGGCGGACTCTCGGGGACCGACGAGTTCAAGAAGCGCCTGGGTTCCACGCTGGACGCGCTCATCTCCCAGCGCATGGCCGAGCCGAACGTGCCAGGCGCAGTTGAACCCCAGTCGAGGGACTTCTTCTTGTCATCCTGCTTTTTTTGCCTTCTCCTCCTTCTTCCCCTTTTTCTCCTTCTTCTTCACCCCTTCTCCTTCTCCTTCCTTCTTCTTCTCCTTCCTTCTAATTCTTCATCTTCCTTTCCTTTCTTTTGAATCTTCTTTTCCTCATTGTTTGTTCTTGTCGCGCTTTGTGTGTCGCCGGTAGACAGTCACATGGATCTGGTCTCGGGCATTGCCTGGTCACTGTGCAGGGCTGATGGGTCGACTGGGCCTCGGCAATGCGCGGCTCCCGCACCCTGCAGCGCTGAAGTTGGAATGGGAGGCAGAGTGGGCGCTGGAATGTGGTAGCAACCATGCCAATCGCCCACTTACCAGGGTTACCAGGTGAGTGATATACACTTACCCCTGCCCCCTCAAGTAGGCTCGTTTGGTGCAGGCGAAATCTTTGCAGGGCAGTGGGGCGCAGCTGGAAGCAGCTCTTGGCTCAGAGCAGGAGTTTGGGGTGTGGCAACACTGTTGGTTGGCGCGCTGGGGAACCTCAAGACTCCCTTGACGTTTGTGGAAAGGGGGGTGTGCCCCACCGAAGGGAGGAGACGAAGGAAAGAAGGAGATAATGATAGGAGGAAGAGAGAAGAAGAGATAGACAGGCTCTCACTCATCTAGTTCCTTCGACCACTGTAAATCCCCTGAAAAGAAATAGGAGAGGGAATAGAAAGTCAAAAAAACAGATGGAATCTTAACAAGAAGGAGATAATGATAGGAGGAAGAGAGAAACAGATCCTACTCATGTAATGAATCCGCTTCTTTCCGAATCGTCGTTTAGGATTGGGTGAAGTGCGCGCTTCACAACCGCAGTTTCCTTCCTGTCCTGGAATCTTTCGCGAGCCCCGAGGCTGTGGCCCATTGCCTGAGAAGCTTCCGGGAGATGCCGCCGCGCAGCCTGGTGCCCTGGTGGTCCATCATTGCAAGCAGGGCACGCCGCCAGGAGGTGCCAAAGGGGTGCCCAGGGGCTTGGGTTGGGTTCGCGCGTGGCCGATGTTTTTGGGATAATGTGATCGATGTGGGGACGAAAGGAAACCTGTGCGTTTTCAGTTCTTTGGGGTGGCTCACCCCTCACATGCCGCGCGGAGACCTTTTGGCATGTGAGCACAGGAGTGCCTGCGGCGCTTGCTTTGCAGCGAGGGCCTGGCGGGTTCCGCCGCAAGCGACCAGGACTCACAGGCATCAGGGCAGGGCAACGGCACATGGCTTGTCGACTCAGCTTCCTTTTGTTAGCAACCCATTTGTCATATCAAGGTTTCATTTGCTGGTTGCACCCTCACACCTCAAGACTTGAGGGGAGGGGTCATCAAGGCTGGGTTTGCGTCTTGTTGGGTGACTAAAATGGCACTTGCTGAAGCCTAGCGCAAACTTGGCGGGCTTTCTGGAGGCGCACAAAGGCGCCTCCCACGAACCTTCCCATGTTTTGCCACTGGCTTGCAGTTTTGACCAGAGACTGGACCCTCATCCTCGCTTTTGGCCCGCACTTTCCCACGTGGCACACGAGGCGAACCTGATTCGTCCATGGCTCCATGCTTGCCTCTGTTTAGCAACCATGGGCCGTAAACCACCCGTGGTTGTAGATCCAGGTAGGAGACATGGGCAAATCACCAAGATTGTAGATACAAACCACCGTAGGATCCCGGATTGACAACCCCCTGGTTGATTAATAGGGGGTGTCCCCTTTTAGTGGGGATTCCTCACTTTTGGAGGGAACACCCCCCTAAAAAATAGGACGGGCTTAAAAGAATCCCGGGTCGACATCTCATAAGTTCTACAAGTTTGCCGCGGCCTCGCAGGCCATCCTCGAGTGGAGCGACTTCGAGGACTTCCGCGGGGAGCGCCGCAGCGGCGGGCTGCGGCTCCCGGGACGAGGCGCGGGGCTGTGGCTCCGTGGGGCCGTGCATCCGTTGAGCGTGGCCGGGATGCGGCGGGGCCGAGGGCAACGGAGGAAAGCACAAGCGGGGCAAAGGGGGAGGGTGAAGTAAGTTATGAGTTTCTGAAGTGACATCCTGAAGGGAGGATACGCATTTCTGAATTGCTGAGCATCAGTTGTGTGAGGATCGATGTTCACAATCAAAGTGGGTGGGGAAGACAAATCGCTCTGAAAGAGTGCCAACTTGAAGCCAACCATTGGATAGGGTTTATTCAGGGTTGCCACATTTTCAAGCGACTTTTCTCGCTCCTCTCAACTTCTTTGTCGGGTTGCTCGGTGTGCGAAAGGGAAAGACATGGATTTTTTTTTTGGAGTTCCCAAGATATGTGTTGACCTGGTTCTTTTTGCACTTCCTACACGTGCTCATAACATTTGCAAGCATTTGCATGTTTACGTGCCAGATGAACTCGACCCACTCTGGGAGCTGTTGCAGGAGGAGGAGTATCTCACGCTCAGTCAGGACAGGGGACAGGGCCACATGGCTGTCCACCTTGCTTTGCCCATTCTCTCATGCGCGAGGCGCCCATGCCATTGCTGCCATCATGAGCAGAGTGATCCTTCTGTGCCGGGGTTTGGTGTTTGGCCTCCGGTCCGCCTGCCGTAGCCCAGGGCTGAGCTGCAAAGACTCAGGCTTGTGATCCGCGCGGTCGTTGGTCCGCTGGGAAGCACGTTGTTTCCTTTTCGGATTTCTGACGCCGAGGATCCGCGCTTAGCCAGCTGTGTGATTGTTGGACTGTCTCCTTCAGTCAAGCTGGCTTCCGGTGGTGAATTCAGGCCCTCACCCGCTTGGCTGGCTTCGCGGCCTTACTTGTCTTTTGTGAAGAGCAGTGCAGTTGGATGACCTTCTGGGCCATCCATCCTGCCAGCATGGTGAAGCCAAAGCCGGTGGGTGCGGTCAATGCACGTGAATTAGCTAGGCTGGGGTTTGAACAGCGCTCGTTGGGTGTGAAGTAAAACAAAAATCAGATCCGCGTGGGAAGTTCACCCCAAGAGGCAATCCAGGGGATTTCCCAGTGACAGGTCTGGGTTGAAGCTCGCAATCAAACCTGAATGCACAATTGGGAGAAGGAGCCGGGGTCGTTCCGATGCCAACTGAAGGCCTGGTCTCAGAAGCGCTACAGCCATCCTCGCGACAAGGCGGGGCCCAGATTGGCAATCTTTGGGTTGGTCTGGGCGCGCATCCCGGCACGGGATCGTGAGTTGAAGTGGCAAGGCGTTCTTTTCTTTGCCGAACAATTGCCCGGTCACCGGCTTACCGCGGCTATTGCAGGTCAGGGATGGCTGGAAAGTGGGGTGAGGGCCCCCCTGTCACAAGCCAAGGCCCCAGGCTTTGCTTTAGCTTGGGCCGGCCTCCCTTTGTGGCAAGGTGACAGTCATACGCAGTCTTCGCTTGCTGGCAACCGGCAACCTTGGCTGCTGGGTTTGCTTGCTCTGCGTGTAGTTTCTAGCTGCTTCTCACATTGATTCTATCGATCATTCGGGCCAAAATGCATGATGTCTTCACAGCTCAGGGCCATCAACAACCCCCGGCAACCCCTTGCCAAGGTTCGATTCATTCTTGGAGCCTCCCCTCACCGGGCCAAGGCTTCCATGCAAGCCAAAAACGGCCTCGGACAGACGTGGCTTCATCAACGGCCTTCTTTGGGATCATGCATGACGTGCATGGGCTGAAATCTTCCCAAATGCGGCTTCAGGTTCTAGGCCTGCTTTCGGCCAGGCTTCCATCACTCACCCTTCTCCGGTTGCAATCATGATTGTGCAGGGGTTCTTCATGTTTTTTTGTGATTTAATCCTTCTGACACATGGTCGTTTCCCTTGCAGGTTCCAGACCACGGATTTCCCTCCCATCAGCTAGCATGGTACCTGACCTGGTGCTCCTGGCTTGGAACATTTCTTCTTAAGGGGCCATTTCTAACCAGGTGGGTTCCAGGATAGCGCATGGTTTCCCTGGAGAACTGCTCACCCCCCGACCACCTTCCACAAAAAAAAGCAAGACAAAAGAAGGACATACCAGAAATCAAAGAGCAAGAGCAATCAAACACAAAGCAATCAAAGAAAGAAAGAAAGAAAGAACATATAGAATGAAAGGAAGAAAGGAAGGAAGAAAGAAAGAAAGAAAGAAGCAAGCAAGCAAGCAAGCAAGCAAAAAACAAAACAACCAGTTGGAACTCCCCTTGGACAGCCCCATCAGGATTCCCCGGCGCAGCTGCAGCTGCGGCAGGCCCTGCGGGAGTACAACACCCAGCCCGGGGCCCTTTTGCGAGAGGAGAGCGGAGAGTGAGGGGAGGGCGTCTTTCCGTCTGGTTTTCTCGCTTTCCCATAAATGTTTTGGTTAAGGGAAGCGGGGTTACCTGGTTACCTTTTCTTGGGCTGGGGTGGAAAACCAGACGGTGAACCATAATTTCAGGTTTCCCTGTTGTGAACCCACGTTTTGGCATTGGATGGTTTTCAGCACGGAGCTCGAATGAATCACGCCATACCATGCAGAGGACGCAGAGGCCTCTACCTTTGCAGCATGTTTCTGCGCTTGCGAGATGGCGCAGGCATGCTTGGCGCCCTTTTGTCACCCTCTTGACTTCGTTTCACATCACTTTGTTTTAAACATATTTTTCTCACTTCGAAGAAGGCTTCTGACTCATCCAACCTGCAAGCACCAATCTGAAGGTGCTCAGGAAGAGCCTGAAAGAACATGCGGGCTCCCTCAGGGTATGACTTATGGTTCCACCTTTCCTAGTCTCATAGGCTTTCTTTTTCCCCTGCGTTGCTGTCAGGGCACCAGCCTTGAGAAAAGACGATCTACCATTCGGAGGGGTGCTTACGTTCGTAGATAGGCACACACACACACAGACCAATCTATTTACTCGCATAATTATGTGGATATGATCTATATTGGCATACATACAACATTTACACAAGCATGTATCTATACATATAAAAAAATATATTCAATATACATAGGCACATATGTATGTGCAATATATTTGTGTATCTATTTACCTACCTTCCTACCCATGTATCTATTGACGTTTCTATCGATTCATGTACTTCTTTGCCCGGGAGAAGCCATTCTAAGATTCTGGCTTTGCACATGCTTTGTTCAGCAGTAGGTAGTTGCCTTTCGGGGTGATGATTGAAGTGTAAGATCCTTTCGGCACATCCGAGGTTCGCCTTCGACCCGGAAAAAGGCGCTAAGGGTGGTGTCAAGAACTTGGAGGAGGAGATCGAGCGCTACAGGAGGCCTTGTGCTTGGACTAGGCCTTGCGCCGGCATGCGCCGAGTGAGGTACTCAGAGATCCTGCGAACGCAGATTGTGGACTCCGTCACGCTGGTGCATGGTGACATCGCCCTGGGCGCCAAGGTGCGCTGCTCATGGCAGCGCGTGGCTGTGGCTGGCTGGGCGGTCGTTATGCTGTCCTTAGTACCCCTGGTGCAGGTACTGGTTGAGGGCGCCAATGCTGCTCTTCTTGATATCGACTTCGGCCGCTTGGCGGAAGTTTGGGCTGACTGGGGACTGGTGAGATTGCCGGTGTCATGAAGCGCCAAAAAAAATCCTGGGCGATCTCATGTCACGAACTTGTCAAAGTGGCTCGGAGTCAAACGCATGTATCGCCTTGCTGTTCTGTACTCTTCTCTCACGACACTGACTTCACCCTCCTTTGTTGCCCTTGGCTCAAGAAAACGAGCGGCCAACTGACGACGTTGCCACTCCGTCATCATGGGTTTGCTGACCTTTGCCCGGCGCGGCGCCGCCGGCACCGCCGTGCGCCGCTTTGCGGCCCAGGTGCCGAAGACCGTGGAGCCTACTGAGCAGGCGGGGGGCATAGCCAGCGGTCTTGCACGGATCCTACACATCCACCCCAGCCGATGATGATCAATGATCTCATTCACGCAGCATAGTCGACATCAATTATTCAAGAGCCACCTAAGTTCATGGTGCTTTCGCTCAGTTGGTGCAGGAAGCTCACAAGAAGGGTGGGGTCCAGGATGGGGGTGACCCCAGTATGGAACCCGTCAGCGCTTCTCACATTCTCCCCTTCCCATTTTCCCAAGTGGTAAGGCTGAAGTAAGCGTTATTTTTCGATCGTGTGCTGAATACGGCTCCCTTTGGGTGAAAATTGAACATGAACAGCATCAACAACATTTGGTGTTCGTGCCCTGAAAGCATTTGCAACTCTGCAGACCTACCCCATGGTCTACGGCCGCTGCGAGGAGACCGTCATGTCCCCCTACAAGGGCGGCCCTGTGTACCTCTGGCTCCGCTCGAGCATCATTTGGCTGCGCCGCTACCCGGGGCGCCACTGGATGCGCTGGATCGAGCGCAACTGGGACTACCAGAAGATGGCCCTGCTGGGAATGCCGGAGTTCCACATCGACCCCACCAAGAACCGCTGGAGGTACTACATCGACACGAGCTACTACGGGGGCATGCTGGACAAGTCCCACGAGGACTTCTACCGCTACATCATGCTCTACCCCAGCATCGCCTTCTTTCTCCACTGCGTCTGGTGCCGTATCAAGGACAACGACAAGGACAACTTCCTCGCCAAGTGGCGCGTGCCAGCTGATGAGGCCTGAGAAGATGGAGCCGATCGCAGCTTCCGTTTGAGTTCTGAGCCGAGAGCACACCTTGGTTGGAGGAAAATGCCTGCACTTTTGCAAAGTTGCCTGCGTTCACACATGCGCTTGCACATCCTGAGGGCTTGCAGGACTTGCCTCCACATGCCATGCATTTGGCGGCCCGCACTGCATTGTTGTGCCTAAGGCACCTATCCGTTCGTCACCTCTTCCAACACCACCGTTGGGAGCGTTTGCACTGGACTGGGTGTGCCACCCAAGCTGGTTGACACAGTCATTGGGGTTGCCGCGCGCTCAGAAGGGGCGTTGGCAAGAGCAGAAGACAAGTGGACTGTTCTTTGCAGCCCCCTTCAAACGGTGCATAGGGAGCTAGAGATGGATGGTTCGCGAGCCTCATTATGAGGCCCCGTCCTCAAAACCAACGGCCCATTTGGCCTCCCACATGTCCTATCGGGCGGCGAAGGTGAAGGCCTACACCACGCGGGTGGGGCACGGGCCCTTCCCCACGGAGCTCCAGAACGAGATGCAGTCCCTGGAGGCCCCGCGAGGTTTGGCTTCGCCATGGGTGAGGAGTCCCAGGATGTTTTTCGTTTTTTTTGGTGGTGGTGGTGGGGGGCGTCATGAGGTCATGAAGTTCAAGAAGTAGAGGTTTGGCTTCGCCACTGGTGAGCAGTCCCTTGCTTCGTATCGTTTTGGTGGCGGGGGCGGGCTGGTTTAAACATTGTGGGTGCCATGTGGATCTGTTTTTTCCCCATGCGGAAGGTTTAGAGAGGACGTCCGCTACTTGTACCATAACTGAACCATTGAGCCACAAGACCAACATGACATCATGTGCCAAAAGGGAAGGCACCATACTTCAACAGTCAATGGTCACTAGCAGTTGCGATATTGAGTAGAGGGAATGAGATGGGGATGCATCGAGTGCTCTCGAAGAATCGTTTTCACACAATTCCCATACTAGGGGAGGCTCTGGCATACAACAAATTTGAAGCATGTCAGGAGCCGCATCAAGTGAGTTTGTACTGAGAGACCACCATTTCAATCAGCAAAGCCTTATACCAAATGCGATTTTCACACCGTTCCACTGAGCTAGGTAATTGAAGTAGGTCCAGTACGCTTGCACTCATTGCCATGGGTTGTTGTAGTGATTCTTCTCATTGGGGGGAGGTGCCCTCTTGTCAGTTGGGAGGAGGAAGGGGAGGAACTTTAGCATCCAGCGACATTGTTCCGGAGTATGCTACAAGCCGCACACGCCTCGAGTGTCACCTTTTCGTGGAATGAAGCAGTCTGAAGCAACCTTTGTGAAAATTTGTCAGATCAGGAGGCAGGCGAGGAAGGCCCAGCGATTTTTCCGCGAAGCTCAGTAAGCCCATTGAGCCTTGGGCCTCCGGCGCAGGACTACGAGGAGACGTTCATCGGAACGGCGGCGACCTGTGAGCGCAAAGGCCATTCAGGCCAGTGCCCCGGAGAGTGCGCTTTATCCACAGCCCAGGGTGGTGAAATGTGGCGAAATGCTTTGCAAAAAGGGACTCTCCTGCAACGCCTGTGTTTGGAGAAAGTGGGGCAACGGGGCGTGGCCAGGTCATGCCTTCCAAGATGGGCATTGAACACGGCAGTGCTGGATATCACATGGCTGAAAAATCAGAAAGGGGACACAACACGACACATAACACGACACATGGTCAGCCATGCGTCTGCCGCCTCACAGGCGGACCATTCAAGTTGGTGCCCGGCCAGCCTGTGAAGGCCTCGTTTTCGCGTTCTGCGTTCCGCACAGGTACGGCGAAGGGTTCCGTTTGTTTGACCCCAATGGATCAAACCCAGGGGATTGATTGCCCGTTGGGGGCATCAATCACTGGCAAGCCTACCTTGGCCATCAAACATGTGGAACCCTGAATTCAAGATGGTTTTGTCATGGGCTGGAACTTGAGAGTGTACTTGTCCCTGGGTTGCTCCCAGTTGCTTGGATCCTCCGGCCCTTTTTGTGGCCGGCCCGGCGTGCCTTGGATCCTCTTTCCGCGCGCCAGGTGGGCATGATGCTCCAAGAGGTGGGCGCCGAGTACGGCACCACCACCGGGCGGCGGCGGCGCTGCGGCTGGCTGGACCTCGATCCTCGGCGGGGGAATTTGGGGGGAGTTTCTCAACATGGAGCCCGTGTGTGTTGGTAGAAGGGGAGCCGAACGCATGCCAACCATTTTAGGGAACTACGATATCTACGAAAAGAACAGAGCCTTCAAACACGGAGTTGGAGTTGCAGGAGTGCTACAGGATTGGACCCCCGCGACCTGTGTGTGGCCTCCAGTATGGTCCGCGGGCCCGGCAAAGCAGGATGGGGTTCAACGAAAAGTGGGTCCCCTACCATTGGTTGACTTGAACTTGCCCTAGCTGGGCCTCAAATGTTGGCGCCTTTCCGGCAACAGGCAAGAGCCGTGCAAAGCCGCGCAGCCCCAGGCACTGGTGAAGTATTCGGCCATGGTCAATGGCTTCGACGCTCCGCTGGCATCTTCTTTGATGGCTTTCTGTGTTTTCTGAAGCGGCCGGGTGCCTAGGATAGCCTGAACATCACCAAGCTGGATGTGCTGACTGGGTTGAAGCAGATCCGAATAGCCATCGCATACCGGAGCCTTGGTGACCGAGATTGGGTCCACATCCTGCGCTTTTGGCGGAGGGGTCGACGTGGCGGGTGCAGGTGGTTGTCATGGTTGCTTGCCGAGCATTTGATGTGTCCTTGAATGGGGAACCCTGCGAAACTCATGGCTTGCTCCTGGATCTCCTTCCGCGGCGACCTTGAGCCCAAGGAATCGGCGCATGACAGAGGTGCGCCTACCCAGCGGGTACTTCCCTTCGCACTTGGATGACCTCAAGGCAGGCTATGTGGCATGGCCCCTTGTAGCACAAAAGGGGCCCAAGAACCAACGGAGGTGGCTTGTTCAGAAGTTCCAGGCCACCCCTTGGGCTTAAGTACTTAGGGCCGCTACCTTCATGCTGGTTCCCAGAGGGCCACCGTGCGAGTGGCGAGGGTTGCGGCGCAGGAAGTGGTCTGCGAGTATGACGCTGGGCGCACCACTTGGAATCGCGGATTCTCCAATTTGCGCCTGAAACCACCACCCCAAGGGAGATCGGGGTGTATGGGGTGTGTGGACATAGCATAAAACCTCACCAAAAATCGATAATTGCTACATTCGGGTTTGTCGCAAACAGTGGAACCGCATCCACCAGGAAACCCTCACCTGAAGAGGTGTGAGGGCAAACGGCAGTCCCCGCGTTTCCCTTTGGATGAGATTAAAAACATAACATCGCCTTTTGGGGGTTCCTTTTTGAAATGAGTTTCCCTTTGGGCTGTTTTCAGGGCGCACATTTGGCGTTTCTTAGGAGACTCTGGAGGGCTGGTCAGAGGACATCTCCAAGTGCACTAGCTGGGAGGCCCTCCCCGAGAATGCCAAGAAGTACGTGCTGAGGACCGCCTCTTCGGGTGTTCGGGTAGAAAGTCTGGATCGGGTTCTTCTTGTCGTGCTTTTCCAGGGGCCAGGGCCAATCACTCTGCGAGTGTTCCGGGGCCGGGACGGAGCGTTGGACTGCGTGGAAATTGCCATGAAATTGAAAATGAAGGGTGGTGCGACTGGGAACGAGTAACGGCCAAGGGGCATGGCAAAGTCAACCAGGGCAGGTCGTGGTAAAACGCAGCAACATTATTGCCTCCTGTTCAAGGCTCGCAACAGCTGACCCCACCACAAGGCAAGCCCAGGGCTCCATGGCTTAGAGAGATACGGCCGTGTCTCGCAAGGATTGAGGAGCTTCTTGGGATCCCTGTGTCCTGGGCAACTCAGTGGCACAGGGTCGCAACCGATAGGCTTGAGGTTTAGGTGTCGCTTTCAGTCATTTTCGGTTTTGCATGGCGCCCAGTGAGAAGGGTCTCGATGCCCAAGGAGGGAGTTGTCCGCTCAGGTGGGAGTTGGGCCTGATCGCAGCAGCATGCTGAAGATACCCACCAAGCGGCGGCGTGTGAGCGGCTTGCCGTACCCGCCCCTTGGCAATCGGATCAGATCTTTGGCCAAGCGTCCTTACTCGCAGCAAAAGACCAGAAGAACGGGGTGGGTTCGTCTCTGAATTAGGTTTGCGCTGGTCCTTTCTTGGTGAGCACCCCAAAACAAAGGGCACCACGAAAGAAGGCAATGGCACAACAGTGTTCAACCAATCGCGATGCAGGAGGTCATAAGATCATGCCAACAGGTCTGCTACATTTGTCTGGGTGGGCCAACGCAAACCTTTGTTTTGATCTTGTTTTGAGTGTCGCCTTGACGGCCCAGATAATTTGGGGGGTCACTTGGGTGCGCCCTCAAACTAGCTTGAACCCTCAAAACGGGCTTCGGTCTTCGTGCTGCCTGTAGGTGTCCTTGTGAGAAACAGCCCCGCAAGACACTCCATGGGCCTGCCAGGATCAGCGGTGGTATCCTGGAAGGCTTGCCTGGCTGAAAAGTTGGCCTGTGGGGTTCCTTGATGTTCCTTGCCTTTGGCACGAGGGCGATGCTTGGTTTGCGCCGGATGTGAAGATTGTTTCTCTAACAAAGGGGGGAAGGCACAAAAAGGACACCCCGAGGGAATGATGTAGATGGTGCGCTTGGACAAGTCAAAGCCGCGCCGGTCCGAGCCTTGATTGCTTTGCAGTGAGAGAAAAAGCTGCGATGGAACATCGAACCTGCTGATGTTGCCTGCCACTCACGCGGCCAAGATCCCAATGGACACGGAGGGTTCCCCCTAAAAAATCTCATGATCTTGGTGCGTTGCTTGGTGGTAGTCAAGGTGCACATATTGAATTAGCATCTAAACAAAGCCAACAAACACATTCATACAGTAAATCACGTCAAACATGCATACATGTGCGGACATAACGTGCACATACACATTATGTTGGAATGAGCGGTATGGTCAAATCTGCTCGAAGATGCTGGATACCTGCATGTACAAGCACAATATTTTGCATATCCATGTTTGCGGCGTCGGTGCGCTGGCAGGAATTGTGTCATGCATCCTAGTCACCTTCCACCAGTACAAGGGGTAGTTCATAAGGAAGCAGTCTACTGGCGCAGTCTACTTAGCAAGTGGTCAGCAAACCTGGTCGTGATCCACCTCTTTCAAAAGCTCTCCTTGAAGCACGTTTGAGCGGGAACTGCGCCCAGGGATGCAATTTCTCTTTCTCTCTCTCTATGTATATATATTATATATGGGTGTGCGTTATTTGAGGGAGCTTTTTTTTGAGCAGGCTTACTACCCCCCGAGGCAATCTGGGAAGTTCTGTTGCATTTTGAGAGACAAGCCCATGTACCTTCGTACCGATTAGATCCAGGTGTGACCACCGGCCAAGGCCCATTTTGTGTGTAGCATCCCAGAATCTAGAAAGATGTTAGAGCACATTTAGGGTCATCCAAGTGGAGGTGGCTACCCTGGACAAGCCGGGTGGCAGAATTCACTGCGACCTTCCAGGTGCTAAATAGCAGGCAAACTGTGAAGTTCCACCCTAGATGCAGCCAACAAGGGATGAACATGATAATTACATTCTTTGTCAGCAGAATTAATTGCCGTAGAGTAATCATGAGATTCAGATGTATATTTTTCTGATGCGCACCGCGGTTGCCCCGCCCCATTCAGAGGCTTGCTTCTTGTCCGCTGGAGCCGCCTCGAGTAGCTTGAGGCTCAGGGGGAGCGCCGAGCGCCCCGACCGACTCGGCGGCGCAGGCCGGTGTGGCCTTGGCGTTCCGAAGATGGAGCCTCCAGTTGGATGGTTCTTGGATGGAAACAAACACGCATCCCGGCGCCAAAGGCCCAGACAATGGCCCAAGAAGTGATGACACTTCAATCACCCAGCAAAGGGAAGAGCAAGGACCCAGAAATGGAATGTTCCCCAGCGACCTCGCAATGATGGATTGTTGCGAGCCGTTTTGAATTCCCAGGGTTTTTGTGAAGTCTCTACCTGAGCCTGGGCTGCACACCACGCACCGCCTCGTTGAAAGGGTTTCTCAATTTGCCGGGTTCTGAGTAGAGGAGGAAAATCTGATCGAGGCGCTGTCCTTGTACTTCCTTCCTTGGAGGGCACCTGTAGCCGACCAGATAGCTAGATTTGCTAGCAGATCCCCCATTTGCGTTTGCATGTTTAGATTGGTTGCAGGCCCCCATGGATGTCGGCAGTCAAGACTTCTGAAAGTCCGCGCTGGCCTGAGCCTGCCACGTGGTCAGAGCTGGGAAGGTAGCAAGGTGCAAGAGCTCCGGTTGAGGGAGCCATGGCCGTGACCTTTTTTTCAGCCTCAGGCAGTGGTGAAATCGATGTTTCCCAAGAACAGGGGTCCCCTGCTTGGACGGTTTTTGAGGGGGAAGCCAGAACAGAACACCAACCGCTTAAAGGGGTCCCTGTGTGTCAAGAGCGAAAGGAGACGTGAGGCCGAAAGAAAAAGAGGGCGAGCCGAGGGAGCACGAGCTCGAGGAGGAGCGGAGCATCTCCGAGTTCTTTTTTGGTTCCGCCTGTCCATTGACGTGAAATCCCCCCCAAGAAAAAAAGGAAAACCAAACAAACACACAAAACCTAGGTTTCTTAGCGACCCAGTGCTGACTCCTGACCTCTTCCCATCAATTTGGGGGGCTCGAGCCTGGACAGGCGCCCGGCGCGGAGGATGGAGGCGCGTGCGGCATGTGGGTCGACGGGGTCGAGCCCAGGGTTTTGGCGCGTGTGGTGATTGTGCAGTGGGCCAAGTGGACAAAACACGGCGATGTGGGAGCCATGTTTTGTGAAGGCGAAGACAAGCTGAAGGAGAAGGACGGTGCTGCCGGATCCCAAGCTGCGGTGGAGCGCAGGGCAAAGCTCGAGATCTGTCTTGCGCCCGCCGGTGAAGCAAGACTTGCTGAGGCCACTTCTGGGGATAGCACTTGCGCCCAGGCCTCAGGCCTCAGGCCTCAGGCTCGAGAGGCTTGGGAGTTTGATCCGTCGGATCTCCGGGCCGTCGGATTTCAGGCTGGCAGCGGCGCGGAGAGCTTGGAGGACGGCGGTTTCCTGTGAGAGGTAACAGCAAAGTGACGGGTGGACGATTCAAGCAATGCTTCTTCCAAAAGCTGGCGCAGAGGATTCGCAGTATCTTGGGCTCCTGACTTGTTTGGGCCGGACAGCCTAAAAACCGGGCTGCCCTGATCTCTAGACACCTTTGCTGGCTTGTATCTAACTTCCTGCATTTTGTCCTGTTGTCGACACGTCTCAGAGTGGCATCAGGATTCCTTCGGCACTACTGCAAGCAAAGAGTTCACGCCGCCGCCCTGGAAGATTGAGGTCTGAGACCATAATAGGTAGGGCCCATGGCTGCCTAAGTCTGAGTTTCCTTTGGCCAACAGTGCTCCTAATTTGGAATCTGCGGTGTAGCACTGGAGGAGAGAGGGAGAGAGAGATGTATGTGCACACATGTATATAGATATGTTATGTGTGAGAGACGGAGGTTTCCTCAATTATAGGACAGGCAAACTGGGGAGGAAGCTGAGTTGACGTGGGATGGCCCATGCGCCAGGCCGAATATTTGCGGCAGCATGTGCGGGATTTAATCTTTCTGGTAGGGCCTGGCTGAGGGGTTCGAGAGTGGGAAGAGCAACGGACGGATCGGCGCCCAGCTTGGATCGGCACAAGGTTCGGCAGCTCACACAGCGTGCAGCTGGCAGCGAAGGGAATCGAGCCAGGCAGTGGCTCGCACGGAGGCTCGCTTTGGGGTGGTGATGGGCTGTGGCCAACGGCGGTGGAGGCGATGGAGTTCTGATTGGCAAGGCACTGTGCCTTGTGTTAGAACAGAGATCAATGGGACTCACCAGTTCATGCAGCCTTTGCCCCAGCTTCGGGAAAAAGGGCCAGCGGCACAGCCGTCAGGACATTCTTCACATTTCGCTTGGCGCTCAGTGACAGGCTTCCATCCTGACGAGTCGTTGCTGGGAATTTCTCACACGGGCTACATGCTTTCTGAGGTTGACGTTAGGTCGGGTCTGAGGCGAGTTGTTTGAGTTTCACCCGGCTCGTTCCGCAGAGTTGGCCCGGCGCCTGGCCCGGTGCGCGCCTTGCCATGGACGAAGCGAGTCTGCGGCGATACCTCGATGAAGCCGCTCCTCGGCTTGGGAGCTCGGGTTTCGGCGCCCTTTTTGCCACCAACAGATTCAGCTGGGCCTGACTTCGTCAAACTTAGTCATTTGTCCACACACCTCTGGTCTATAAAGCATGCCCTCCCCCCCCTCCTCCCCAAAAAGAAGCAAACACTAACAACAAACAACAAAACAACAACAACTCGACTCGAGGTTGCTGCTGCGCAAGAGGCCGGCAACCTGATGCTGGAATGCTTTGCGCGCAACGACGGCCAGTCATGCGTGGAAGCCACCCGCCTGACTTCCGGCGCCTGTTTCTTGGTTCAAGCGCGGCACGGGCAGTCGCCAGTAGGCCAGTAGGGTTTGTGTCAAGAGAGCAGGGGAAACCGGCAAACACCCAAACAGTGCAGGGGCCCTCGTAAACCAGATGCATGTTCAACAGCCAGGCAGTGGCGGGGTTCACGCCCCTCCCTGCATGTATTTGAGGAAAAGGGGACGTCAGTGGACCTGGTGACAAAGTACGACCGGCAGGCGGAGGAGCTGGTCCTTAAGAGGTTGAGGCCGGATGGGTCCATGGTGACATCCTCCAAATTGCTCTTCTTGAATGCTGCTCGGGTTTCCCACCCACACAAGTAATTTGGAGAATCCTTGATCCCAATAAGTTTTGTTCATACTCTTTGGTCTTCTTGGCCCTTTGCCAAGAGGACTTGGGAGACTGCTGGGCACTTGCAGCGGCTCTTAAGGGATAAGGCGGTTGGAGTTGTTTGCCCGGCTTATGGCTGCAGTTTTTGTGCCGCCTGTGGAAAGAATGGAAGGGTTGCAATGGCAATGTGCCGAGCTTGTGGGACTTGGCCGCGGAGGAAGCATGACAACCAAGCATCGCCGTGCCCCCCCCCCCCGCCCAGACTCTTGTAGGGCCTGTGCTCCCAACTTCCGGGTGGTGGCGGAGGAGACAGCGAACAAAGAGGAGCCTTGGATGAGAGACGATGGTTTGACCTTTCGCGTTGCACGTCGCTGATTTGGCGGATAGAGAGCTGATCTTGACACATCCACATGTAGCCTCCCACCCACTAACATGGAACCTGACAGGGGGGGGGATCCCGGAAGACCGTTTTTCGTTTAAGGGGACGCCCCTGTCAGGTTCCATCATGTTCATTTTTAAGTTTTCTGTTTTCTGCATGTGACTCGCCAAACCGAGGAGCTGACAGAGGCCCCGACCTGGGTGGTGGATCCCATCGACGGCACCACCAACTTCATCCACCGCCAGGCGCAGAGCTCAAGCTTCAGAGCGCCGCTTCATCCCCAAAACCTTGCTCACGCTCAGAAAGGAAAGAGGGACAGCCTTTTGAACCGTCCAACTGGTGGTTTCCTTTTTTGGGATTCTGAGTTCATTCCCAGGATTCCCTAGTGAGCACCAGCAAGAGGATGGTTCCTCTCTAAAACGCTTGGCTGACCGTTTGGTCGCCTGTTTTCACCAAAGGGGGTAGCAACCAAAGAACCCATTTTGGCCAGGGTTGCTTGGGGGGTGGTTGTTGGCCCGCTTTTCACAGGGATGTCAGACAACTCACCAACCGGACTCCACAGCCAAAAGAAGCAGTCGGGGAAGTTTTTGAAGCTGCCAGTTTCGGAGCGAGTTCGCGAGAAGCCAGGAACCAGTGTTGCTTTCGAGCTATGTTTTGTGTTTGTGACTTGGATCCGTGCTCGGTTGCTCTGTTCTGCTTGGCTGACTTGTTGGGAGTCCAGGCCTTCCACAGACTGAAGCCGCACACAAGCGGAGTCGCGGGGGAGAGCCCCAAGCAAACACCAAAGGACTCTTTTCATGAGTGAAGCATCCTAGAACCAATTGTTAGAACCCATTTCATCCCGTTTTGTGTTGAGCAGCTTGGACACCTCAGGCAGAGTGTTGCGTCCTGATCGCCCTGGCGGTGAAAAAGTCGGCTGTGCTTGGAGTGTGCTACATCCCCAAGATGGATGAGCTGCTCGCTTTGTGCTTCACTGTGGCTTCGGTAGGTACCAAGTGTCACGTGAAGGCCCGAACTAGCAAAGAGGCCCGATCCCTGGTGCAGGCCTCCGGGCCGGTTCACTCGCTGGGAAACGCGCTGGCCAAGGCTGTACACAGCGATCAGGGGCCACGGCGCGTATTGCAATGGCAGACGGATATCATCAAGCGGCTGCAAGGACATGGGTGTGCGTGTGGAGCGATCTGCGCGGTGCGTGTGCTGGAATTCACCTGCCAGGATTTGAGAAGCGCCATGGTCAATCAGCATTTGCCGAGCTATTCCCGTGGGGTTAAGGTGGTAGACAGAATCATGGGCCCCTTGCTTGCAGTTGTCTGTTGGCAAGCTCGTGGTCCACCAGTTCCGGCAGGCAGTCTTTGCAGGTAGCTTTCAAAGCCAAGCAGCCAATGCGCCGCTAATCGCCGGTTGGCCCGCGGGGTCATGGCCTCCAACGCATCACGGCTTACATGCGCATAACTTGTGACACTCTGAGTTCCCCAGGGTGGATGAATGACCGCACCCTTAGTCACTCAAAAGCTATGTGTTTGGCGAGTTCACTATCAGTCAGCAATTCAAAAGAGCCATATCTTGAACCCCCCAATCTTGCTTGTTGGGGCCCGGATTTTTTGGACAATCGGTTTTTTCCACGGCTTTGGTTTCCTGGCTCGGAAACTCCGGATGTTCGGGTTCAGCCCTGGCGCCTTGACGCCTTGACGCCGGGAGGTCAGGGGGAAGCCGAGGCTTGAGCCGGGACCTCTTGACGCACCCCGTGCGGGCCATGCGCTGCGGGGGCTCGGCTGGGGTGGACATGATGCACGTGGCGCGGGGCCGGCTGGACGCCTACTTCGAGGCACCCGAACTCGGGCGGGCAGCGGCGGCTGGATTCGAGTTGCTGCCTGAAAGATGTGTAGAAGCTTTGGGTACAGGGGCAGTTTTTTTTTTTTGGGGGGGGGAATTTGAAGATGATTCTTCTGCACTCTCCAAGATTGTTTGCAAAAACGCAGTTGGATCCATTTTCCGTGGTTATGTATCGAAGTCATCCCAGCAACCAAAGGCAGCACCGAGCGCCGGATTGCAAGCAGGGTTGGGGTGGCCCAAAATCCACACAGGACTCGACTAGCAGGGGAAAAGCATGTTTGTTTACGTGTTCTTTGACTGAAGCTGCATCCTCATAGTCCGGCTCGCTGCTGCAGGTAGGCATTTGGCCCTGGGACGTGGGCGCAGGGCAGGTCATCGTGGAAGAGGCCGGCGGCGTTTGCCGCGACACCCTGGGGGGTGACTTCAGCCTCGATTCCCGCGGCTCGGCAAAGGCACCGGTCTCCCCTTCAGGTAACCCCTAGTTGGCCATGTCCCCCAAAACAAGGACAGACATTTTTCCCCCCTTTTTTTTGGGCGGCGCGGGGGGGGGCGGAATTGCAGGATTGGGTACCCCTTAGTTGGTGTGTTGGATTGGTGATTTGAACCCCTGGTTCAAATGGGAAGCCATCTCCGAACCACCAAGCCACCAATCCAAACCACGAATTACAGGGAGGCTGATTTGTGTTGATGACTTTCAAAGGGTTCCCCTTTTCTGCCAGCGTCGCTCGCCAACTGGGAGCCGGCCGGTGATTTGGGGCGCAAGCTTCACACCGACGTCAAGAAAGATTCGATACGCCCAAGGACCGCTGCTGTGTTGTCTGTAGATGATGGAAGTTTGTGCAACGGTTGGCCAAAAAATGGATTTTCTTGTGAGGATCTGCAAACTCTCTGCACCAAACGCTTTGCACGGCAGAGCGTCTCTTCGGGGCTTCTAGAAGCGCAAGACCGAGCGGACAGTTTCCACAAAGCTTCTAAAGCAGTTTGCACAGAGATTCGTCAAGTCCTGTTCAAGCTACCGAGATCTTGCAGGAATCCTCCCAATCAATCCTTTGAGCTGTTAGATGAGATAAGATATGAAAAGCCCCTACAAGAGACCAAGCGCAAGAACGCAGCGGCCGCCGGGAGAGATCTTGGTCTGAACTTGCAGAGGTCTTAATGCAGGTGACGCTGGGGAAGGAGACAAGTCAGGAATACCATTGTTGGCTCACTGTTTGTTTCTCTGAACGGGCTGCGTTGCCAAGTCCAGCCTCGGCTATGCCAGAGGCTTCCCAGTAAACTGTCAGCCAGTCATGCTACCGACCCGAAGCTTGAAGGAGCCCTTGATGCCCTGGCCGTTTTTGTCAAACGGGAGCAACAGGGAGCCACGCAGTTTGGGCGGACTGGGGTCTTTGCAGTCGCAACGTTGGAGGAAGCACACCTCAACAGTGGTTGAACATAGATCCCCGCCATGTGCACCAAAAGGGCCCCCTCTTGAAATTCAAACCATGTGAGGTTTGGTCCAAAGCTGCCAGTTATGGCCCCCACACCGGGGGGATGCCGGGACGCCGAGGGGGGGCGTCGCTTCGAGGCCGCATCTTGGCTGCGAGCTCGCCGGAGCTGGCGGAGCAGGTGGCGCAGATCTTGCGGAAGCACCGCCCCTCGGAAGCGTCGCCCCGGTCACTGCCCCCCCCACCCCTCCCCCCCCGAGACCCCCCACATGGACCACCCGTAGGCCGGGTTGTGATCAAACCTGAAGTGTGGGACCTAGTTTTGGGGGAAGCCTAGTTTCAGGTTGGGGCAAAGGGAAACCAGAAGGAACCAGAAGCAATTTTGGGGTCCGCCTATTTTTGACACAGGCCGAATCGATTGCACACAATTTCTGGCGTGCTCACTGGGGATTTAGTGGAGAATCCCAGCCATTCTGCGGACATCTCTATGATGGAATCATGAGACTGCGTTGGCCCGACACATGCTGTTCGTGTGGGCATGCGTAGGCAATTGATGGAACGCACTCCTATTTTTCCTCGATGAAGCTTCTGCGATCATGAGGCCATGAGATCATGCGTGCAAGTTGTTCCCTGGACAAAAGGTGACGAGTGCTCAAAGCCGTCAGACGAGCAACAGACAAACCCAGTACTTTGAGGCAGGTAGCAGCGAAGATGCTGCGGCCACCTCCAGCGGCATGGGACGAGTGGCACTCGCAACGAACGCACGCTTTGCTTTCTCTGTACTGCCTGCGCGTCGTGCTCATCAGCTAGCTTGCAAAGCTTCCTGACGGCGTGGGGGCAATTTGAGGTTATAGCAGTTTGGATGCTGAAGACTACGATGGCCCATCGGAGGAGGGGGTTGCGAAGCGGCAAAAGGCTTGGCCAGGCCGGAGGCACTGAGCAGGCAGACATTTGATGTGCGAATTGGGGAGTTAGCAGACGGCTTCGTGTCAAACCGGAGGCCCTGTTAAAGGATTGGTTTCAAGAGAGTTTCCTCTTGGTAAAGAGCAACATTTGTCTGTGAGACACAGCCGCATGCACACCTCGCGCTGTTTTGCATCAATGTGGGAAGCCCGTTCAGGGAGAAGCAGCAGCTAGTGAATGCAAAGATGTGATGGGGGCAGCGAGGCTTCTGTGCGCCGTCGCCCGTGGAGCGAGGAAAAGAGCGTAGTAGGGAGTGCCGAGACGGAGAGAAGGCAGCGACTGGATGCTGTAAATGAAGGGGGCGGGTTGGCCTCCTTGTTGCCATACGCGCGGAAAAGAAGTCACACACGCACGCACGCACGCCACGCCACGCCACGCCACGCCACGCCACGCCACGCCACGCCACGCCACGCCACGCCACGCCACGCCACGCCACGCCACGCCACGCCACGCCACGCCACGCCACGCCACGCCACGCCACTCCACGCCACGCCACGCCACGCCACGCCACGCCACGCCACGCCACGCCACGCCACGCCACGCCACGCCACGCCACGCCACGCCACGCCACGCCACGCCACGCCACGCCACGCCACGCCACGCCACGCCACGCCACGCCACGCCACGCACCGCCAACGCCACGCCACGCCACGCCACGCCACGCCCACGCCACGCCACCCACGCCACCGCCACCCACGCCACGCCACGCCCACGCCACG